GTATATATACGTAAATTCTTTATTGATGAAAATGAAATTCTTCTGCAACAAAGTTTTACATTATTAAAATACTATGTTGTATTTATGTTAATTCTTTAAGTTTTTAGCAATATTTACGAATATATTTTAAATTTTTTTAAAAATTGAAAATTGGTGATAAAGTTTAATTAAAGACTTAATAAAATTGTTTAAAGTATTATACTAAGAACTTTTTAACACATTATAAATTTTTTTTGCTAAATAAAAATATTTGTAATAATTACTTAGAAATACTCTCACTAGCGTGGATAGAATCAACACAACTATATCTCTTTCGTTTTAAATGCAAATGCATTTGAGCACGAGCTGTTTTAATCCGTCTATTCATAAGTGTAAAAATTACTGGATATGCCGAGCAGCTTATATAAGGAAGCAAATGGATAAAGTATGATGCTATCACAACTGAAATTTCCTTTGCAAACAAAAAATTTAAAACTTTCATTTTTTAATTTAAGTAAATAATTCTTAGGATTTCATTCCAGTAATCTGAAATTAATTTCAACAAATCTTTTCTTAATAAAAAAGCATATTCAGCTAAAATTTAATGCTAAATTAAACTTAAACTTGAATTTTTTATAAGAAAAGTATCAAAATAATTAGTTTGCACTAACTCAATCAAAATTTTATCCTTTGATTGTATGAAATAGTTTACTTGCAACATTGGTAGAAGTTTTAGAATAACTTATTTTGTCGAATGAAATTACAATTTTGTGTTTTGAGTATAACTTGTTTTATATTTTTAAAATTGAAATTTTGAATAGTCAAAATTTTTTATCAGTTCTTAGAAATTAAAAAGTATTTCAAAATTAGTGCCTTTGAAAAAATAACAATTTGGTTTTCAAAACTGATCAAAACTTTTTACTTCATGAATTCTTTCTCATTTGTGATAGCTTTGCAGTGGTAATAGAAATTAATTGAGAATATACTGAATAGTATTTTTTCTTCATTTTATTTTTATTTTGCGCTATTTTTACAAATTTAAAAAAAATTGAATAATTATGCAAATTTGAAAATCAAAGCGCTAAAAAAATCAAAGTATAATTTTTTTATAACAACAAACTTGTTCGGCTCATTCCATTGATAAATTTATGCGCAAATATACTCAGCCAATATGGTGACCAACACGAGACATACACGGCTGTAAGCACAAGAACTGTCGCTATTAATCGACGTAAAGGCGCTGCGTTTGAGCTGAAATTTTTTTAAGTAAATAATTTATTTTTCCACAAATTTATTCCTTTTATTGAATTTTAGAAAGTAAACTTATTTAGCTTTTTTAAACTTTTATTTATACTCAAATTATATATACGTCAAATTTTTATTTTAATAAAAATTTGTGTAATCAGTGAAATGTTAAGATATGTTAACATAACATACAGACGCACAGATATACATTTTGGTAATACAAAGAAGTCAGAGGGTAAAGTTGAAGTAATAATACTATTTTCTAAGTGAAAGTTCAAATTTAGAGAGTAGAAAATAGAACGAGAAAATGAACTAACTTGCTAGATACAAGAGAATTACCAGCTCTTTTCCTGAGGAAAAATGGCACAGAAACATACCAGTAAATCATTCCTCCTAATGGTATGGCATAACTTGCAATGCAAGACACTATACCAAAGCCAAGTTCGATTTCTGTAAGGTCAGCCTGTATGAATTGTAACACAGTGCAAAGTAGAATCACTTTTGAGAATATCTACCTGATGGTGGCATGAACGTGCATTTACGTAATACGTTAACAGTTCGCAGTGTAACGTTTACATTAAAATACAGTGATGAGACTTGACTGTAAGCAAAAAGTGGCCATAGCATTATCATAACAAGTGCCATTGATGCAATTACTTGTGCTATTGCATACTGTAAACAATTTTTTTATTTATTTTTGGTAATTATTACAATGTATAAATTAACCTTTCACCTGTAAAGAGCAGAGCAAAATATTTTGTTACAACATTAATTCAAAGTCATATAATATATTAATAAGATATTACCTTTAAACTAGCAGCAATCTGTTGACTTTTTGGATCTAAACATACTGTTACATAACAAGTTCGACTAATTAATACTACAATTACAGGAGCTACAAATTTATTCATAGCTTCAAAAACAAGATAAGCAACGCACGAAAATGTGCTAAATTTCCAAGTACCAAGAACTATTTCGATTATTAAGAAAAGCATTCCTGCAATTACCCAAAAATTATTTAAAAATTTTTTTACTTTTGTTTGATATTTTTGATTTAATGCAATTAACATTACTTTCATAAGCAGCACAGTAACATATATATTTTGGTTATTAAAAAAATATTTTTTGTAATTTTGTGAAAATATGAAAATTTAAAAGTATTAGCATACTTTTCTAATTAATCATTTATAAATTATCATTTGGTAAAATTTGTTGGTCATTTAACATTGCACCTTGGTATGTAACTGTTGGTAATTTGAAGAAAATTACCTATCATTATCATGAGATCAGATATGCATAATGTTACAATATAAAATAAAATACTCTTTGGCACTTTAACAGTTAATGAGAATAGTAATGGTGCAACAGTATACAATACCCAAAAATTTACTGCAAATCCAATACCATTTACAGCCATATATGCAAATGCTACATACCTTCGATAACCCTGAAATTAACACTTATTGTGTTTCGTCTATTTTTCAATATTGAAAATATTTTCTATCACATTTTGCATATATTTGAAAATTTTTAAAAGTGTTCATTAGCAACAACTAATATTATTAATTTTGTGTAGACACTTTTTAGCTTATAGTTTGTCATTATCATGATTTTAACTAAACATTTATGAGTATAATTTAATTCTACACCTGAAATATGTTAATTTATCGAGCAAAAATTTGAAAGCTGATCACATTTTTAAACAAAATTGTATGTGAATAATGAAAAAAAATAAATCAAATATAAAATTAGGGCACTATTATAATAAATATCTATCAATAAATATTCATAATTTATATTATGCTTGAAAAGATAAATAGCAAAATTAATAACTTTGTTAAGTTATTAAAACTTAATGTTTTATTGACATTAGTAATAACTATAGACAAAAGTTATTTAAGCATAACGTAGTATTATTAAACACTTTATGCATACTGCAATAGAAATGATTAATTTCGCTCGTTTTCATAGCTTAAGCTTTCTGCACTTTGTTTTCAGTGAATTATTGAAGAAAATTTTTTTTGCAGCCCTAATTGGAATGTAATAAAATTAATAAAATTCAAATCACCTGAAATGGTACTGAATACTCCAACTGCTTGTAATTATTAAAGTCATCTTCTGTCTGCAAAATAATTGCCATCGCTTTTTATCAGAAATCCGTCATATCCTAAGCTAAAAACGTGCTTTTAGAGATAAGTCTTCGTGATTTAAACAATTAAACAAATTACATATAATAAAATTATACTTTACAATTCTTTTTTGGCTGATAAAAAATTAATATTGCTTTTTTGAATTAGAACAGAATTATTTTGTGTTTAACTGCTTTAAAAAACGATATCAATCAAATAGAGAATCTAATTTTAAGATAGATTTATTATAATATGCAAGAACATAATAACTCGATCAAGTTGTGAAGAAAAAAAGGTATAAATAAATTAAGTATGCATAATAAATACGTAATAAATATTCCCACATGGATATAATAAGGTCAGTTAATCTATAATATTTCTGAGATTAGAAACTAAATTAAACTTCGATTCAATTTCGACTGTACTTGCATGCATGATAAGTGATATCCAAAGCAATAAAGTTTAAATTAGCTAACTTTTTATTAATATTAGTTTATATATTCAGCTCACATTTATTACCATCTGAATATTAATCTTTTTTAGTTGAAACTTTTGAGCTAATAAATGAAATGCTATTTTACTCTCGCAAACATAGCAAAAAAACAGTCTGATATAAATTCTGTTTTATTTTTTACGTGAAAAACTTCACTAACTCGTAATGAACGAATTAAGTTCAAAAATTTGCATCGAAAATAAACTTTGCTAAATATTTCGGCAAGTTAGATATTGAT